ACGAAAGGTAGAGTAGAAGTAAAGTTGAGTTGAGAGAAAAGAATATCGTAAGGGGGGAATATAAAAAAGGACAATTGGGGAGAGGGGGGGGGGAAGGGCTTGCGCATGGTGTCTCCTCCAAGCCGTCGGGGTTGCATCGAAAGCACGAATTTAAGGCTAATTTATGGTGTAATTTAGTTTCAATGTCGGCAGCATAAATCTTTCGACGGTGGACAGGGGCCCGGGCCCTGGGATTGGGGAAAAAAAAGTCGGCACACCAAACACAAAGTTCTCCAAACGAACGGGGGTGGTGGTGGGGGACGACGAAGAAGATCCAGCACCCGGTATACTTTTTATTTTATTTAATCGATTTCTTTCTCTCTCTCTCTCTCGCTCTCTCTCTCTCTCTCTCTCTCTCTCATTCTCTGTCCTTTTTATTTACTCACGCGTCATTTTATTTTGCTTTACGACTTGTCGATGACAAACGACAAAGATTATCATTCAAATTTAATCTTTAACGGATTATAAAGTTTGTTTGTTGGTTCTTTTTTTATTTCCTTTTTTTTTTTTATTTTATTGATCAAGACCAAAAGAAAAAAAGGTCAAATGTTAGACAATTTCGTATCGTTCTAATTTAATTCGATGATATTCTCGGAAGACCCATTAATTGTAAGTGTCACACATTCTCGGGTGCTAATGGATTTTCTTTGAGAATGAGTGGGACAGATGAAGAGAGAGAGAGAGAACATTATTTTATGAGACAAATGAAGCTTTATTAATATTAGATTTATAAATGTTTTGTTCATTAATTTTAATGACTTACAAACAATGTTTGAATTGAATGAAGGGTTGAGTTGAGGGGAGGAATTAATATTTCAGTATATTTCATTAGGTAACTAAAAACCAACATATATTTTTAAAAAAATAATATATGGTAATGAAATTTTTAATGAGTGTCTTTCCGATAAGTCCGTAGGGTCTTTCCGATAAGTCCGTAGGATCTTTCCGATAAGTCCGTAGGGTCTTTCTGATAAATCCGTATGGTGTGTTTAATTAGGCTTCGTAGAATAGTCTCGTAAACGAGCCTCCTTAAAAAGCCTCGTAAATAAGTTTCATCTATTTAAAAACTTTTCTATTTTATTGAAAAATTAGTATAAATTTCCTAAATAACTTTAACATTAAATTAATTAATAACATTAAATGTTAAACTCATTTACGAGACGTTTAACTCGGCCAGTGGTCATGTAAAAGACGTGGGAAATAAAAAAAAAAAAAAAAGTATTGGTTTTAACGCATCGACAGGTAGATAAGGGACCACGTTGGAAAGGTCACGCGCCCAAACCATAATGAAAGTCAAACCTCGAGATGATGTTCGCTACATTACCATACCGTTACCACCGGTCCTCGCCGCGTGGGTTTTAAAGACGAGAAAGGTAATGTCGAACGTGAGAAAAATTCACGATTACTTTATCACCGAACTTTTACCTTGACTTTAAGTATTGACTTAACACGATCTACCACCTCCGTGATCTTTTCTTTTTCATGTGATTATTTTTTTTTTTTTAATTTTTAATACACACCCGATTATTCGTATTTACACAAAGAACAACTTCATAAATGATATTGTCAGAAAGAAAGTTAAAAAGTAGACAAGAAAAAAAAGAAAAAAAACGAAGAAGAAAAAAGAATTTATTTAAAATGGATCGTCTCTTGTACGTGGAACGCGAAAAATTGTATAAACCGAGTCGAATTTCTCTAACACATCCGGTGAATCACGGTGAATCGATGAGAGAGCGTTATATTTATTTCTAGGCGAGCCGTGAAAAAAAGTCGTCCCGTCCATTCACGGATACGGCAAGGGAGCACACAACACGCGCCGTTTGCTTGCATCCTGTTGTAGTCGTTCTCGTCGGATTCCGATATATCGAACGCGTGATATCAACATAGCGAATAGAAGAATTGAGGAAAGTATCGGATACGGGAATTGTTCGAATTATCGTCCAAATTTATTTCCATAAAAGAAGAACAAAAGACAAGAAAAAAAGGAAAAAGTATAAATACGAACTCACGAATAAAATCTGATAAAACTTGATTAAAAGAAACAACATAAGATTTATTTCATTTTAAATATGAATTTATTTAAACATCGTTATGTTTAAACCAAACTATTGATCACTTTATATTATATCACTTTCATTATCTTCGAAGATTATTTGTCCCAAGTGAGATTTAGTATCTGGAACGTGTTGTTGTGTTAGATATCGTCTACGGGAAGTGCAGTCCTCATTGCACCACTGTGGAAACTAGAAACTCTAGATAAAAACTAACCCAATATCGATGTCCTCGTACCCCACCTGTTAACGAGTTAATACCTGGAACCCACACCTACGGTTAGATGCTTCCTTCCTCTTTCTAACAGCTCCTAATCATAAAGATTGAAATCTCTCTCTTATTTATTGCCAAAATTGAACACTGTTTCATTGTAACAGAAAACTTCAATTATTATTAACATAACATTTTCAATTAATAATTAAAATGATACATTTTTTCTAAATTATCTTTCAATTATAATTCTTTCAAGTAACAAATAGGAATTAAGATTATGATAAACATGAAAGAATATTTATAATAATAGTACGATTGGAGGGTGAGTTAACAATCGAGTAGCTCCTCAGTGTTCAACCATGCTTCCTCCCCCTTCACCCATGCCTCCCTACTTTGAACGATTCTCTCGTGTGGAGAACGACAGGTTGCTTAGACCGGTACAAAAGAAACGATCGTAGGAAGGTCGAGACTCGGCTCGTAGAGCTCGTCCGAATGGTACGTGAGTTCCAGAAACACACTGACGACTTACCGATTCCTCGTACCGATATCGGAACGGCATAGCAAGCAACAGCAAAAGCAACAACAACAGTAACCAGCAGCTTGCTTGAAATCTTTACTCGACTTTGCGGTTATCCCTTGTCCGGCTGCATGCCGAACACTTCCTGTCCATCGTCAATGATTTTCTTTACTAGCCGCGTTGTTTTTAATATATCGTTGAATAATATTCAATCATAATCTATGCAAAATGAAAATGGGTTCATCGAAATTATCAAAAGAAATGATAATATTTTACAAAGTGATCTGATATGGTATAATATAATCGATAAATGTGAAAATTTTTGTTCATTTTTTTTTTTTTTACTATTTTTATATTTAAATTTACACAAAGTAAAAAGGGGGTTTTCTACCTTCATGGACAACAACAAGGAAGTTGTTAAACCTTATTAACGTTTGGGTCTCTTCTGTGTTGCACTGGAGGTAGAGATGTATCAAGTAACCTAGTTGCATGTAATCTAGTTAGTAGTACCTGGTGCACTATTACTACTACTACTACTATTACTACTACTAACCCAAGATAAAATTCACTTGGAACATTTTTATTCGCTTTTCATTTATTTTTTTTTTTTTTTATATATTTTTCCTAGTCGTGTCCGAGCGTCTATCCATCATATTGAATATTAAGTTAGTCGAGATCGTACGAAAGGGGTTCGTATAGTTAACCTAATAATTATTCAATTTTTGTTAAACCATGTTTCTTTTCTCAAAGTTATTATATAGTAATGAATTTTTACATTGTATTTCGTAAAATGAAGATCTTATAAAAATATTATTATCTTATCGAATTGAAAAAAAAGAAAGANTTTTTTTTTTTTTTTTTTTTAGAAATAATCATATTATAAAAATATTATTATCTTATCGAATTGAAAAAAAAGAAAGAGAAAAGAATAAAAAAAAGAAAAAAAAAAGAGATCATCCCAGTTGAGTCGAAAGTTGACTTATATTTTATGTAGTTGGTAACAACAATCTATTATCTATTTAGAAACTGGCTCACGATCGAAACGAACGACCATTTGAAAAATGAATCTCCCTGTCACGATCTAACACAACATAGAGTATAGTAGAAAACGTTAGATGATCTATAACGAAAGAATGCAAAGAGGATTGAAATGAAATTTCTTTGACCAACCATAATAGGATGATCGATCATTAATTAAAACTCGTCATTTGTAACTTGTCTATATTTCTATGAAATTAACATATATAAGTATCGTTGACTATTTAAATATACAAAACTAATTGTTAATGTTTCATAATTAAACTTGTGTGAATTAAGAAAAAAAAAAGAAAAGAAAAGAAAAGAAAAAGGGGTTAATCGATATTCAAAAAGAAATGCTTTTTAAAAGACAGATCGATACGGAATCGACTTATCAAACGTGACATCAACGGTTGTACCGTTTCTTGGAATAAGAGTATGGAATAATGTATTATGTTTTTTGCTAGCAATCGTTGATCGGTACGTTCGGTATTTCGTGAAATTTGTCGTCGAAGATCGAAGATCGTGACGCGTGGAATGTACAACTACTGCGTAAAGCTAATCCAATGCACCACGTAAGCACGTGGCTGCATGTTGGTTACGAGAAAACGTGATGGCACGTTATACACGACCCATTTTAAATTATTTTTCATATATCATTTTAACATCAAACATCGACCTCCTGCTGAACGAACGGAAAGAAAACAAAAAAAAAGAAAATCTTTAGAAAATAAAACACTTCCGTTTTATATTGAAAAATATGTTCATGTTTTTTCTTTTTTTTTAAATTCTAAACATTTACGCGTTACACGAGACTAGAACGAATTGTGTTTGACGTTTTCCTTAAATTTGTAAAATCGGAACGCGTAGTAAGCGTCGCTTTCTTCAAAGGGAAAATTTTACTGTATATAACGAAAGATCAAACGTTGAACAATTTCACCAAGGGAGGGAGGAAAGGGGGAAGGTCTTAATAGTAAAAATAAAAGGAAACCTGATTGATTTCATTCATATTTTGTATGCTTCGATTATAAGCGTTAGAATCGTGGCAAACTATTTGATTTCTATTCTTTTCATATATATATATATTTCTTTTTTTATTTTTACATTTTATTTTTAACACTCTATAAAATCGGACATTTACATAGGTACAAGCCAAACATTTACACTTCCGATAGAAACTCTCGGAATTACGTAAGCGATTTCTTGACTTTTTTACGTTGGTTTCGATCTTTCCTCAAGTGTGTTTCCACTTCGTGTAGCATCTGAATACGTTCGACAAAGCATCGTGAGGTTGCCACTGCGACAAGAATATTAATGCAGTTTCACGAAGTAAGTATTATACATGTATCGTAGAGTAAGTGGGTTCGTAGTGCTCTGTGTTGAAGAGAGTTACGTACCGAATTCGATGACGATGAAAGTGTCGTGTCACCTGCGATTCCGGGTGCGGTGACCCCATCGATTTTACATACAATCATACTTGATCATCCGTGATTGCCTTTATAGTTAATAGTTAACTACTGTTAATGTTAAATTTATCTTCAAATTGAAATAAAAGATTGTAATATAAATTAATTGTTTCAAACAATAATTGATTGATTAAATATTCATAAAAGTTCATAAGAAGTGTTTGATTAATTTATAGATAATATTTGGCGAACTTTCAACATGGCTATTTTATGTAACGAGAATGACCTCGCAGAGAATTAGAGCGACGTTACGAAACCCGTCGAACGAGAATCAAAACATTGGGACGGCCATTAACTTCAGAAAGGGTATACGAAGCTGATAGGGTCGGGTCCGCCTCGAAATAATTGCTTCGGGATATCGACACTGAGCGGCATACTAATTTCGTTGCGCCTACATGCATGCGCACTTACCTGTAAAATCGACGGTTTATCGATCAACCGAACGAACCAACGAGCGAACGAACGAATCAACGACGATATCGAAGAACGGGAGGTGGGTGGACCCTACAACACCAATCGCATCACAATTTCAACCGATGATTAAATATTTCTTATAGATTATCGTACGATTATATCTAATACCGATGGATAAATCGTTTTAATAATGATTTCATAGTTTGCAATAGTAAAAAGATTCAGAAGAATTATTAAACGATAATTGTGTTGAACAAGTTGAATAATTTGATGGAAAGATTGTTGTTAACTTATCTCGTAAGATCTTTGATAAGTTTGAATATGAATTTAGAGATATATATGTAAAGTACAATGATAGATACAATTCGTGAGTTAAGAGTTAATTTGATTGTGTTCTCGTTGAAAAATTATACAATCCACCCACGATCGTAATCTCGATGGAAATCTGTCGATTTCCCATAAACAAGGGGAAGGGAAGAGGAGATATACACGGGAGGCGGCTTTTGGTCTCTCATTATACCAGTATCAACCTCCGACAACCGATCGATCTCATATCGGGACTCATCTATGTAGAGCACACAGATTGCTTCAATGTTTTACTGTGTTGCAAAAACCGTTTTATATTATCGTCTTCGCGAAATATTCGCGACACTCGATAAAAATACTTTCGTGGTTCACACACACACACACACATGTGTTGCAAACACCAGAGAGCAAAAATATGTTACTTTCTTCGTTGATGGAGTGTAAGACATCAATGTAAAACATCGTACAACTGTTGCTATAATGATTTTTAAGGAAGATATCATGTACGGTAAATCGAGTCGATTAAGTTACAAAGAATTTTAAAGAAGACGTTGACCTTATCCAATTTTCTTTTATTTAAATAATTCTCAGGTGATTTACCTGTACGAGCGATTTCACGTTTATCATTTTTTTCAAAGATAAAATCTGACTTTATTTCTTCTTCTTACATCTTTTTGAAATAATTTTAACATCGCTTAATTTATTCATAGATTTAAGGTAGTTATAAATATTATTTTTTAAATGAAATTGATCTATTTCAATTGTAAACGAATATTAGAATTCATATTTGAATTTATGGCGTCATCTATCGATATTCAAATAGAAATCTATTATATCGACTATCGGTATATTATCAAAGGATACGAAGAAATCATTCGTCGATAAGTTATCAACTAATTACTGACATGATTACTGTTGGTAATTTTATTTTTATCTCTTTTTTTATTTTTATTTTTTTTTTTTTTTTTAATAATCTTAATGAATAAATACGTTTATTATCAGCAAAAACAATGAGTAAAACGTTTTAAAGATTAAAACATATGTTACTCGTATATTGATTATATTTCGCACGTGCCGCATGATTCTATTATCAGAACATTTTGTTTCGTTATCAAAGATTTAAAGCATTTTATCGATAAATTAAAAAAAAAAAAAAAAAAATTTCAATTGTCTTACAATTAGAGAGATAGATACAGGGGGGGAAAAAACGAACACACTCGTTAGAGAGTCAAATCTTTTGGTATTTTATCAAAGTTTCGATAAGAAAAAAAGATCTTAAATGTGTAAATATACAGTTGTCTTGCTTACGTCATGACTCATGATGAATAAGCGAAGTATCAGAATAATCGCACATTGCCCAATTTATATTTAACGAAACGTATCAAAATTAGTGCTTCGTAAATCTTTTTGTTTTTTTATTTATTTCATGGTAGAAAAATAATTTCTTACATTATCATTTTCAATTACATTTTTTACAGTATCACAAGTAAAATAATAATGTTTCTTGCAATTTGAAAATAAGTAACTACTAAATTTGCAAAACACACGATTAACAAATACGAGTATCTTATTTTAGTATACTACGACGTTTATTATTCAGTTTCTCAGAGAAAAACAAATATATATATATATATATATATGCACAGATATAAATCCATTGTCAGCAGCGGAAAGATTTTGTTATAATTAAATTGTAAAAAGTATAATAATAAATCGATGAACGCAACAATTTCTCGAAATAATTTACAATGATTTATTTATTTTCATAAACTTTTCTATTATGTTTTAGAAACACATTAAAGACTTGTCAACGTTGTTGTCAATGATATCAAAGTCCATGCAATTAGAAAAATGAAATAAGATCAAACGTTCTTAACGATAATCTTAACAATTATATACGAAAGATAAATAAATGCATTCTACGATAAAAAAAATAAAATAAAGATACAATTAAAAAAAAAAAAAAAGGAAATAATTTTCTTAAAAGAAAAGAAAAGAAAAGGAAAAATAATGTAATTAAGATTGGATAAAAAATTGTCATAATTATTTAATTCCACGATTGAAATGTTTAAATATGGTGTGTTAATTGAGGTGAGAAAAGGTAGGAGGATAGTTTGATACGTTTGAAAGTGAACGCGTTTGAACGAAATCGTGACCGATAGGAGGAGGACGGTCACAAATAGGACACGGTCCTAGTTGCCCACTTTTACTGTCCTCAATTTCACTCTCCTACATTGGTGGTCGGTCGCGACCGACTTGCCAGTTTCGTTTCGTTTCGTTTCGTTTCGTTTTCACTTTCGCTGGCCGACGATCGTCCTGACCCGACCTAACAGAGATTTCTATTAACCCGATATACGATCACTGAACGGTTCTCTCACCGAGGAAGCTGTGTATCCTAGGTCAGGATCGCGTTCACTTTCGCCCGTTGGCCTCACTACCTTGCCCACTTTCGATTTCTATCACTAACGCGTTTTCTAATTTCTAAATATATATATAGATATAGTTATATATCGTTAAGAATAACATCTATCTTTTTGTAGTATTACAAATGTATTATTTTCATTATATTTAGTATCTTATCAAATTTGTTCATCTATTTTTTAGAATGCTTAGGATTCTAGGATGTTTAAATTTAATTAATTATATGTAATTACTTATATTACCTAATTAATTATATTTAGTTAATTATATATATTACAAAAATTGGTAATAGCACAAAATAAATAGCACAAATATAGCACACACAAAATTCTATATAAATATGTAGACATTGTTTCTTCTTCTTTTTCTTTTGTTTTTAGAATTTCTAGGATTCTAGGATATTTAAATTAAAAATTAATTATCAAATTTGTTCATTTATTTTTTAGAATGCTTAGGATTCTAAGATGTTTAAATTTAATTAATTGCATGTAATTATTTATACTACCTAATTAATTATATTTAGTTAATTATATGTATTACAAAAATTGGTAATAGCACAAAATAAATAGCACAAATATAGCACACACACAAAATTCTATATAAATATGTTGAAATTGTTTCTTCTTCTTTTTCTTTTGTTTTTAGAATTTCTAGGATTGTGTTGGATATTTAAATTACATTAATTATATATATTATATATTGATATTAGTATATCAATAATAATAATAATATCTATCTTTTCGTACTATTACAAATTTATGAAGAAATTGTTTCTTTTTTTTTAGAATATTTGAATTTAATTAACTATAATCTATTAAAAATAAAAAAAAAGAAAGAATCAATATATTTTGCAACGTTTCCAGATAGAATTTAATATATCAATCGACCAATAAAAAATTATTATTAATGTTAACGTTCCAGGATTCGATCGAATTTTAAATAATACGTATGTGAATTAATTAAACAAACAAAAAATATAATATTCGTTGTCTATTGGAAAAATAATCAATAGAATCCTATAATATGTATTATTTATTCCAAAACAATAAGAGAGAGAGAGAGAGAGAGAGAGAAAGGATGGTTGTATGAGATGTAAATGGATATGGAAATTGAATATTTCATAAATTTTATTTTGAAAATATTCAAAATGGTATACGTAAAATTGTTTTTTTATTCATTGTCAATTTATTCGTTGTTCATTCAGACAGATCAATAAAAATTATGTATTTTTCAGTACTTTTAAGCTATTTGTATTTAAAATTCTTTTATGAAAATTAAATTTGACAAATTAAAACATTCTAAACAACACTTTACTCTTTATTCATTGATTTTTCTAATTCTTCAATGAAATTGGTCAACTAACAACTGACTTTTTCTTTTTCTTTTGTATCTTCAATCAAAATTTCATTTTAAAAATTTAGAATGATCAAATATTGTAATAGATCGATCGAGTATAACGTACGTGTCATTTATTGGATGATTACTTGATCACGTTTTTGGATAATTTAATACCTATAGATCATTTGGAATATCGATTATTTGAGATTTTTCTGTATTATCATCACGTTTAATAAATCATGTTATTTCTACGATTAAACACGATTGATTTTATTAATACGATATTATACACTATTGATCATTACGAATTATCAATTATCTTAGTCTTCGGAACGTGAGATTATTATAACGAATCTGTACGCTCATTTTCATAACTTCTAAAATAATAAAGAGAGAGAGAGAGAGAGAGAGATAACGATTTAATAGATTTATCTTATTAGATGAATATGCAATTTTTCATAGAAAGTAAATACGTTCGTTTTTTTAGATTTCATAGTGTTTGGCACGAAAGATTTGGAAAGATAATGAATTCACTAAACAATGATTTTGAAATGATGAATTAATGAAAACAACAATGAACACATTTTAATTTTACTTTGATGATAAAAATAATCAACTAATGAATAATATGTCCCTTCAAATTTTTGGTCACAAACGAATTCCTTTTTTTGGTATGCTTGATAATGACGTCTTTTTATTTTTTTTTTTTTTTTTTTTTTGGAGATGATTCAGATAATTGAATAATTATTCCGTCATAATAAGTTGAATCATAAGAATAACAGCCGTAAATTTCGTGCTTCTTTGCGAACTGTTGCGATAAGAAATCCCTACTTGATTGCTATATAAACGATTTCCTTCCAATTTGTAAGGACAGTATACTCAAGACATTTTTGGATGACTATTCAGATTTTATTCAAATAATAAAATCATGAAAGGTAATAATAATCTTCGTAATTTTTGCATCTATCAAAATTTAATATCCATTTGTATTAAGAGATCATAATTTGATTATTTTTTGCTTTTTCTATTTTTATTTTCTACAAATTGTATTTAATCTTTTAGGTGCCATTGTTATCACTGTGTTATTTGCGTACGCTTTGGGAGCTCCTCATTGGGAACCAAATCTACCGTGGACTAAAGAATTTCAGAATTTTGAACCACAGAAATATAAAGAAATAGGAGAGAATCTTAAAGATGAATTTAAGAATTTAGAATCACGGAAATATGAAGAAATAGGAGGAGAAAATTTTCAAGACAAATTTCAAAAGAAAGTTGACGATTTTAAAGATCAATTTGGTGGAGGTGGTACAGATGTAAAAGATAATCGTGATTATTTGAAAGAATTTTCGTCATTTGGACATTTGTCGGATGATTTATTGAATCGACCACATCGTTCAAAGAACATTTACAAGTACGAGAAAGAACAACCCAAGAAGGACAATGATCACGATGATGATGCTTCCAAATCGTCAGCATCTTCAAAATCGTCAGCATCATCAGAATCGTCAGATTCTTCGGATTCGAAAGATTCTTTGAACTCATCGAGTTCTTCCAGTTCTTCGAACTCTTTCAGTTCTTCAAATCCTTCAGGTTCTCACAGTGTTTCGAGTTCATCCAGTTCTTCAAGTTCATCGGACTCATCCGGTGCTTCAAATTCTTTGGGTTCTTCTAGTTCTTCAAGTTCATCGGACTCTTCCAGTGCTTCAAATTCTTCGGGTTCTTCCAGTTCTTTAAGTTCAAGTTTCTCCCAGTCAAAATCGAAGGGCAAAGACAAGGATCAGTCTAAGGAACATAAAGATTGGAAAAATTCGAAAGACAATGATTCCGATGAAGATTCGAAAAATTCGAAAGACACTGAGTCCGATGAAGATTCGAAAAATTCGAAAGACACTGAGTCTGATGAAGATTCGAAAAATTCGAAAGATTCTGAGTCCGATGAAGATCAGGATAAGAAACACGACAAGAGAAAACAAGAAGAGAATGAGCACAACTATCATCATCATCATCATTCTAAACACGATAATTCTGGAACATGGATTAAAAATGAAAATGATGTGACAACTGACAAATTGTCCGACGATGCGTACATTGAACGTTGTTTAAAAATATTAAAACAATTATTTTCTTCATTGAAAGAGAAATATGGTGAAATCAACAAAGAACACGATAAAACGACATCACATAAAAATGAAGAGGAAAGTTCAAATTGTAATAAAACTCTTAATAAGATCGAGGATAAATCAAAGGACGGTAAAAATGATGAAATAAAATCAACGATTGTCAAAGATTTGATAGAAAAGAGATCAAACGTTAGCAAGGAAGTTTTACAATGCACATACGCTAGGAAGATGTTAATTGTTAGAATATTTAAAGAACTTCGTGAACGTATTAAACATAAATATGGTAGCAATTCAATGATGTATCTGCCAAAACGTATACGGGCTGCATTAAACGTTATTGATCGAATCTTAGCTAAAAAATCTCAATCTTATGGTTCAAGTGCATTTTTAAACTTGGATTCGCATATTGGAGGTGGTTCCAAAATTACAGGTATAGTAAATATGTTATAACAATAATTTCATTCCCCACACAATCTACATATTTAATATTATTTGTAACATTATTATTTATTTTAGGCCATCAACAAGGATTACATTCTTCGTCTAACTCAGAGACGTCTAATGATAATTCTGCTCCACTTTATCACAAAAAATATCAATGGTTCAATCCCTCTTTACCTTTCCTTGGACCAGGTCCAGTTATAATTCCACCTAAAACTCACGGTACGAATAATTCATTAAAAGAAATATAATATACAACTTGCTATTAATAATTTAATAACTTTTACTTATTTTTATTATATAACAGATCAAGACGGTGGAACCACAAATCCTTCTGAAACGTCATCGCATGATATTATCTCTAAAAGGAACAAAATCCATGCTAAAGTGCCGTTCGAAGGCTCTCATCATTTAATACCAGTGAAACACAAAGATAAAGTTGTGCATTACAATCGACCACATTTCCATATTGGTATACCAAACAATCCTATTTCTTCTAGTGGTAGTGATGGTTTTACGAGTAGCAATTATTCACCAAAATATATAATAGAATCAATTTTTAAAAATATGGGCACACAACCACAAGGCAATGATTATATTCACAAATGGAACGGACCGTTACTATTTCCTACTTTGCCATCGGTTGAGAACAATGGAAATCATAACAATCCTAGTACAAATCATCATTCTAAAGGATTTTCTAATTTTGATGAATTTTTACAATCTACGATAATTGGCAATCAAGGTGGTATTCACGATATACGTAGCATATTTCCTGGAACTTCATCATTTTCGAATTCTCAATCTACTGCAACTAGTAACGGTAAGGTAGATTTGAATAACGAAAAATCAAATGAAAATGACAATTCAAAAGACAATCAGTCAAAGAACGGGCAATCTGTGGATAATCAACAGTCTGTAACACCAATCGGCAATGATAAAATAACATCTTCTACTTCTGGAAATAATAAGAATACCAACGATTTACAATCTGGGAATAAAACATATAATTCAGTTGGTACAAATAACGATAATCAATCTGAACAAGATGGAACAGTTGTAAATCAAGGAGATTATGTAGATTCAGATGTATTATTACCTTCCAAAAATGATACAGTAGTATCGAATAATCAAGAATCCAATGACGGAAATAATGGGCATAAACCGGACTTAGACAAGCCTACTTCGGAATCATCTTATTGGAACGAGAATACTGCGGATACTGAAACGGCAACGAAAAAATCAGAGCAAGACTTCAACAATATTCAAACTATAATAAATAACGTCGATGAAGATAATGAAAGTATTTCAAACGGATCGAAACCAGAAGAAAACTCAGCTAGTACATCATCTCAATCAGGTTCGTCAGTTTCTTCAAATAAGCCAGATGTGCCAGTATCGTCAAAACCGACAGAAAACAAATACGGACCGATAATAACAACCAAACCAGACTGGTCAGTTACTTCAGATAAACCAGAAGTACCAATATATACAAAAGGACCATATTTGCCAAATACGTCGAATAAACCAGACTTGTCAGTTCCTTCAAATAAGCCAGATGTACCAGTATCATCAGAAAGACCAAACGAACCGATAGTAACAATCGAACCA